ACATAAATAGATAACCTATATAACAAAGTATATAACGGTATTGTTTGTACCAAAATAAAATATTAGGGATACTATTTCTTTACAACAACAGGGAAAAACAAACACTACTATAAAAAATGTACATAAACAAATTTCTTAATTTTTCTCACATCTCTACCATGCTATTGCAGTAGTGGACTTCTCTCTAAACTTCGGTATCTTGAAATTAATAATTTTCTTCATTGTATTGAACATCATAATCAAAGGAAATATAATAAAAATATAGATCAAATATCATTCCACCAAAATATGTTCACAATCTGAAGAGAACGACAAAAATCCAAGTATTTTCAACTCATTTGGAAACTCAAATTAGCCTCATATATCAAAATATTAAATATCCACATAAATAGCAAGTCAAATAGCAACATTTAGAGTGTGTTTGAGATGACTTATGAAATACAGAATTTACTTTCTTAACAAGTGTTTATCAAAAATGTTTATAATAAAAACACTTTCAGGAAATAAGTATTGTTCGGATATTCAAAATTAAAAATGCTTAAATTAAAGTATTTTATAAAAAGTATGTTTGGATGTGAAAATACTTATTTGTGTCACTGTCACAATTGTTAACAGTATTGAATGCACATATACAACACATACACTACACATATAATAATACACAAAACAAATAGCATACACAAAAATATTATATTAATAAAGGTATCATACAAGAAAACTACATAATCCAACTATCCAAATGACATTAAGTACATACTAAAGTCGCAAAATACATGTTAATAATAAATAAAATCAAATAGTCATGTTTGATTGTCTCTTAGAATTGTTGAAGCAATACATTCTCTTTTTCTATACATTGGATTGATATCTGAAAAATCAATATCTTCTTCAAAAGTAATTTGGTTTACATTGTCTTCTTCTTCTCACTCCACGTCTTCATTAGCATACCTTTCAAATAATGCATCTTTCTGCAGTTAAGCCTGCTTTGTCTTTCTCATTCCTATAACTACTAGAAGTCCTCTAAAGTAACATCACAAAATACATTGGTTATTAGCACAACCCGTAGAATAATAACTAAACTAAACAAAAAAAAAAACTTTGTATAAATTCCGTATATCTTTTCTTCTATAACATGGGCACGTAGGACTTGAGAAAATTGTAATTATTTGTAGAATTTAGAATTTCAGCATCTAAATTCTAATAAAACTTGACTATAAAGATGAACAACATTAAGACAAACACCACCTTAAAGTTGAATAAGAAAACATTAAAAGACAACAAACACAACATCATGTAATTGACAGAAGGTAGGACTTCTATCAAACAGTTGGTGGACATCCAACCATAGCATAAAAATTAACCGCTAGAGGTTTCCAAATTCTTATTTTGTCCACTTTGTCTACAAAAAACTATCTTCATAAATTCACTTTCTTCCTATAGTGAACGTGAACATCTCAAAGAGAATCTTGGGCACCAGAGGCTTTAATTGAGATACACTATCAGTTACCTTCTCACAAAAACCTGTATATACAATAAACCTCCCAAAGATAGGAAGGAAAGTACCTGTTGAGCACATAATACCAATTCTAATCACACTTGACTGAGCGGTACATGTGGCAGACAAAGAACAAAGTCGCATGAAAAATGATGACCCCAAGCATAAGAAAGAATCCATAGAAGATGCAAGCCATTATATCAAATAGTTGGTTGACATTCTATCAAATTGTCTAGTTTTGGTGAAAATTTTTAACATGTGAGGATGAACAATGAATTATGGAAGTAAAATAATATAGTAATTTTCATAGTAATCATGGATCAAATAAATAAAAAACTTTTTCCCCAAAATTTTTCTAAGATCTCCAAAATGTCAACATAAAAAAAAATCACAAACCAAAATATATCAACCCACAACAAATCATTGCAATAGAAACTATAAAATTAGTTAAGAAGAAGATATTGTACCTTGTTTGAAGGATTTGGCTAAATCAGCGATTCAACAAAGATCGGTTAGAGAAAAGATGGCTCCAGCATCATCGGTAGTTGGCGAGAGAGAAGGTATTGTCATTGTGGTCGACGAGATGAGAGAATACACTATCGGCATCGACATTGCCATCAACGACAAGACTAGAGTGACTACATGAGATAAGGTTCCTACACCCAACACAATTGACGGGTTTTGGCAGAGGTATTGGGGTGATTGAGCTAAAAATGAGAAGTGATTTTTAAAAGTAAAAGTTAATTATTTTTTACTTCTCTTTATTAATTTATTTAAGTGGTTAAATTACTTTTACTTATCAAAGAGTGTTTTTAACGAGTTGAGCCAAACATTAATTTTTTTTTTAAAAAGTATTTTTATTAAGTTAAAAGTTTCAAAATCACTTTTTTTTAAAGTCATACCAAACACATTCTTAAGCAATGTCAAGTTATCAACAATATTTAAGTAATGTCAAGATGTCTCATGACTATTGTGCAGTGTCCAAATCAACAACATATAAGTCACATCAAGCTATCAACAACTCGACATAGTACATAAAACTCAAATCACAAGCTTTTCATAAATGCACATTTGATTCATAGTTTAAGCCACTGTTATCAGAACCGGACCGGACTGGTTCAACCGTGAACCGGGACCTTAACCGGTCTGGTTCCTTAGTTGAACCGTTTAAGGAAGCGAACCGGCTAAAAATCGAAAAATCGGTTTTTAAAAATTAAATTACATAAATCAATTTTTTTGCCCTAAATCAGTAAAAGTTGATTTTTTTAACCTTATTCTTGGAAAAATTATAAATGACACCCTTTCTTTTTCTTTATAATTTACTTGAACCTCTTTACTTTACTTTAAAATACAATAACCCCCACTTTGTTACTTAATTTCATTAATTTTATGGCAACTTTTATGTATTTTATATATATTTTATATTTTTTAGCTAAATTATTAAGTTTTATAATTATTATATATATTTTTTTATTTTTTTATTATATGACCGGTCCGACCAGTTGACCCAACGGTTGAACCAGTGAACCATTGACCCGGTCCCCTTGCCGGTTCGATGACCGATTTGGTTCTGATAACATTGGTTTAAGCAACTCAATCCAAATCAATTAATCAAAATTAATTTTTCACATACAAGAAAACAAACTTAATATCATATATTTTTATTTTCAATTATTATAAAACAGTACACTTCAACTTTATTGTTGATAGATACCCTTCTTTGCTTTATGGACGATCCCTAGGTGCAACTGAGGTAGAGTCTCCGACCCTCTGATCGTTCGAATAGGCCTCCAAAGAAAATTTGAATAGGCATCTAAAAAGCTTTTGGAGGCTTGGAGAATGAAGGGAAAGCCTTGCTGCTGCCAGGCAACAACTTGGGTTTTGTTGCCTTGCAGTGGCAGTTTGATAATTACCTAAAATCCAAAAAATTATATTTTTTTTAAATTTTTTTTTATTTATGTACTATGCATGCATACTCTGATTTCACAACATGTGCGTGAAATAATAGTGTCTAAGCCACTACACTAATGATGTCTTTGTATCTAGAAAAATTTATCAAAACTCACTGTCACACTATAATTCATGTGCCAAAATAAGGAAAAACTGTGACAACAAAAGAATTACTCAAGTAAAACAACACTCTATGATAACAAAGTGTGTCCACAAAGTGTTCATTGAAAGTGTGACTATTAAAGTGACTTTATATATAGTGGATAGGTAGTGTAACTCCAAAGTTAAAAAAAAAAAAATCACATCTCAAACACTATGGTTGTCTCTTTCACATATAAAATGTGACACCATAGCATGCCTTCAATTTGACAGTTAAAAAAAAAAAAGTGACTTAATAGAGTACTTAATAAAACCAACACATTAATATTCATATCTTAAGGAAGCAACAAATATTCACAAACATGTCAATGGAAAGAATTATTTAAAAAAAAAAAACACATCTTAAACATTATGTTGTTTCCTTCATATTTGGTGGATTAATAGTGTGACATTATAGTGATACTTCAATTCATAAATAGTGTGGCTTTATAAAGTGATTTTATAGTATCATTTTTCTTTGAAACTCTTATATATATATATATATAATATGAGAAAATTTCTCATATATATATAAAACATACATACGTGATCAAATTTAAGCTGATGCAAAACAAAATTCCTTAATTTTAGTATTTTCTAAGATAAGACAACTAAAATTATTTAATTTTAGTTTTTAAATGTCAAAAGGTTCCTAAAAACTTTAAAACATATCCCTAAAAAAAGAAAATACTTTTTTTCCTTTAAAGGTTTTCAAAATAGTTTTAGGCAACAAGTGTATAATAAAAGGGTATTGATGTCTTTCTCTATCACTAGAGGACTTTTTCCATAACACTTTCCATTAAAATAAATATGTCTTATTTAATTTACCAGCCTTCAAAGGATCGAATTCTTAATCCAAGTCAATCATATTATATTTAATAGATTTAAATTTAAATTTATTTATATTCAGTCAAATTATAATTCAACGCAGATTTAATATAAAATTATAAGGACATATGAATATACTGTGAAATCAAGTAATTTTTTGATGAAAATAAGGTGACGGGTAATTTGTTAAAATTAACTCTAATTAACTTATTGAATGGTATTGGATATATAGATAAAAATTTTAAATTTCAATGGATTCAAATACAAATTATGAAAATAAAATATATTGAATTATTATACTGCATTTGGATTGAGTTTTGCAAATTGAACTCGAATTTCGATCAGCCAACTTCGATACAAATTTTCGACCAAAAAAAAAAAAAACTTCGATACAAATTCAATTAATTGATAGGCATAGGATGTAGCAAATGATGGGCCCCTTCCATCAATTGCTGATGTGTCAGCATCTAACTGTGGCCCAATCACCCTATTATAACACAGGAAATACTCTGAGACATTTCGAAGACGAGAGAGGCCCAAGACCACGAGAAAGAGAGAGAGAGAGAGGGAGTGGCAATTGGTGTCCACAATGGAGATACCTGGAGGATCATCAAAGATGATAGCGACCCAAGCAGAGATGGTGGAGGCGAAGGTGCCAATACCATACAGAGACCAGTGCGCCCACCTACTGATTCCTTTGAACAAGTGCAGGCAGGCTGAGTTCTACCTTCCCTGGAAGTGCGAGAACGAGCGCCACTCCTACGAGAAGTGCGAGTACGAGCTCGTCATGGAGAGGATGCTCCAAATGCAGAAGATCCGTGAACAAGAGGCCCAGTTGAAGCAGTCGAACAAACAACCACAAGGCATTCCTCTCATTCCCAAAACAGCCAATGCTTGAGGACCTACCAATCGCGTCTCAATAAATCAACTTTGGTTAGTTCTTTTTATTCATATAAGCTCCATTTTTGTTTATTTTTTCGAAGTTTTGGTTAATGGGTTTTTTATTTTATAGATTTCTTGTGCATAATTTAGGGTTTATTTGGTCGAAGCTTATGGATTTTATGTTGATGGGTTTTCTGGTTTTGGTTTAACTAATGACGGGCTTATCAGAATTACATAATCTCTGATTTGTTTTAGAAATTATCGAATTTTTGTTGGTGGGTTTGGTTGAGGTTAGTTATGATATGTGACCGGTTATTTCTATGGATTTGTTTTGCTTTTTGGATTTGATTTTAAATGATCTATAGGGTTTGATTGTGGCTGTTTAGGGTTTGTGGTGTGGCTTGTATAATGAAATATGTGTTTTTCATCTTATGTTAAAGTTTATGCATTAGCTGATCGTACAATGGGATCTTTCGAGTCAACTGTTTGGTCTTTGTGAAATTTATGTCTGGATGGAAACTGTTAGGTGCCTATTTTTCTAAATGTTTGTATATTTATATAATTTTAGTGTTTTATTAGAAAGTTGTTTAGTTAATGTGTTAGTGGTTTTATGTTAGTGGGTAGTTATTTAGGTAGTGGAGTAATGGGGTAAGTTAGTAAATTACAAGTTGCTATCCTCTTGTATTTAAAGACTTTACTATCGATGGAAATGGTATGTTGTATAATCGTATAGAACTTTCTTGTGAAAGTTTTAGCGATCCGGTTTTTCTTGAATTGAACGATCGGAGCTTTCTACCCCTTCAAAGTGGGTTTCCTTTCCCCAATTCTACTTTTCGTTTATTTTCTAAATTTCTCAAAGTGTGCACGTAATAATTGGTAACAGAGCCGGTGATCTAGATATGAGTACACCATTGAAGATTTTGAAGTCAATGTGTGATGATTTTCGGAAACTGTTCACTAAGGTTTCTACCCCCTCGGACTGCTTGAATCTTTGACTTAGGTGCTACACATCACATGACCAGTGATTCTTCTTTATTTGTATCTTCCTTCTCTCCTCCATCTATCTCAGTACTTTTAGCTAATGGTACTCTAATGTCATTGGTTGGTGTTGAATCTATTATTTCTCCACAACTAACCCTACATGATATTTATTATATTCCACAGTTGACATTAAATTTGATTTCAGTTAGCCAATTGTTTGATTTTGGATTTTTAGTTTACTTTCTCTTCTGGTTGTGTTATGTAGGATTCACGTTCCAAGAAGCTAATTAGGACATATAGTAGAAAGGGAGGGTTCTATGTTTTGGACGAGATGCATATTCTAGATATTGTTGCTTCTTCTATTGATTTATCTTTTTTTTTTTTTCATTTTTGTCCACAGTCTTCTATCTTTTATTTATGGCATTCTCGACTTAGTCATGTTTCTTATTTACGTTTGAAATTTTTAGTCTTTACGTAAGTTGGGTAATTTAGAGTATCATGATATTTTTAGTTGTATGGGTGCAAGTTAGCTAAATTCATTGCATTACCCTTTAACAAAAGTTCGACTAGCTCTCTTGCAGCTTTTGATTTGGTTTATGAAGATGTATGGGGACCTGCTCCTATTCCCACTAAAGAAGGGTTTAAATATTATTTTTTTTTCATTGATGACTATATTAGGTATTGTTGGTCTATCTAATGAAGCATCGGTTTGAATTTTTTTTTATATTCACTACATTTCGTGCTATGATACGTATTCAATATTCCTCTATTATCAAATGCTTTCGATGTGATCAAGGATGAAAATATTCTTTTAATTCATTTTGTGATTTGTTAAAATTTGATGACATTGTTTGTCAATCTTCTTATACTGACACACATGAATAGAACGGTGTAGCAGTGTAAAGACCGATATATTATGGAGACAACACACTCTCTCTTGCTATCGGCAAATATTCCAAATTATTTTTGGGGGGAAGCAATTCTTATTACAGTTTATTTGATTAATTGCATTCCTAATATTCATACTTTTGGTGTTTCTCCATTTGAAAAGTTGTATAGTAAGCTCCCTGATTACTTCACCTTACTTGTATTCTTACTTTTGGTGTTTCTCCATTTAAAAAGTTGTATGGTAAGCCCCCTATTACTTCTTCTTAAGTGTCTTTAGTTGTACTTGCTTTGTCTTGCTCCCTAATATTCTACGTACTAAGCTTTCTACTCGATCGACCTTATGTGTATTTCTTATTTATGATGAGGGTAAAAAAGGGTATCGTTGCTGTGATCCTATTAGCAACAAACTTTATGTTTGTCGCCATGTTGTTTTTATGGAACATATTCCTTTCTTTTTGATTCCCTTTTGTTCTTCATGTGTATGTAAATTTGATCTCATTTACATTGATCCCTTCTTTGCTGATGTTCTGAAGGATAAATATGTCAGTGATATAACTGTGTTTGAGTTGCCATCCTCTCCTTCATCTGATTTGGCTGTTAAGCGTTCCCCTATTGTGTATACTTATGTTCGCAGAACTCCTGTTATCTCTTGTACGAATGTAGTGCCTCCCTCTTCTATTTCTGCCACTCAATCAGGTTCCAATATTATGGATCATGTTCTCACTATCCTCAGCACTCGCGAAAATATTCAAATAGGTTTGGTTTTTTTACATACCTGATCCCATTTGACAACAAGCTATGTATGAAGAGTTATATGCCTTACATAAGACCCGAGTTTGGGCACCATTGACTATAAGTGTGTTTATAAAATCAAAATCAAATCAGATGGTATTGTGAAAAGATACAAAGTTCGGTTAATAGCCAAGAGATTTGCGCAGGAGTATGGGTTAGATAATGATGAGACTTTTGCTCTTGTTGCCAAGATGACTACTGTTCGTACTGTGATTGTTGTAGTTGCCATTGGTTAATAACAGTTATCTCAGCTTGATGTGAAAAATAGTTTTTTTCATGGAGACTTATGTGAAGATATTTTTATGACTCCTCTATCTGGGTTGTGTCATAGCCGTTGTCAAATATGTAGACTTCTCAAGGCATTATATGGACTTAAACAAGCTCCAAGGTTATGGTTTGCCAAGTTCTCATCAGTTATTTTTGACTTGGGTTTCTATGCCAGTGATTATGACTCTGCTTTATTTCTACGATCCACTTCCTCTGGTTCTATTGTTGTCCTACTTTATGTTGATGATATAATCGTTACGAGTGATGATATTGCTGACATCAGCCTATTGAAAATTCAGTTATAGGATCACTTTGAGATAAAAGATTTGGGCCAGTTTTGATATTTTTTGGGGATTGAGGTTGTTTCTTCTGCTAAAGGTTATTTTCTTTCTCAATCAAAGTATGCATTAGATATTATTTAGCTAGTTCATTTATCAAATAATCAGACAGTTGAGACACCTTTAGAGCTCAATGTTCAATATTCTTCTTCTGATGGTACTCCTCTTCCTGATGCTATCTTCTACCGCACTATTGTTGGAAGTATAGTATATTTTACGATTACACGCCTAGATATTTATTATGCTGTTCATATTGTGAGTCAGTTTGTCGCCTCACCAGCCACTGTTCATTGGACTGCTATTTTTCTCATTCTTTGATTTCTTTGTGGCACTCTATATCAAAGTTTACTATTTTCTCACTCTTTTTCTATGGAACTCAAGGTTTATTCAGATGTTGATTGGGCTGGTGACTTTATGGATCGCAAATCCACCACTTGTTTTTGCCTTTTTCTTGGAGATTCTCTTATTTCTTGGAAAAGTAAGAAACAAACTATTGTTTGCTCATTTCTCTGTTGAAATTGAGTACCGTGCTATGTCATCAACTACGGCTAAGATAAGTCTGGTTATGATGGCTATTTGCTGGTTTTGGCATTTCCATATCTTCTCCTACTCCAATGTATTGTGACAATACTAGTGTTATTCAGATTGTTTATAACTTGGTCTTTCATGAGCGCACAAAGTACATTGAGATTGATTGCCACTTTGTGCGTTACCATCTTTAGCTCAGCGCTATCATTCTCTCGTTTGTTTCTTCCACCATGCAAATACCATATTTTTTAACAAAATCTCACATCATTGCACGCTTTTGATTTCTTTTTGACAAACTCTTGATGTTTTCCACCGCATCATGAGGGGGAAGGGGAGGGGGAGATGTTAGAGTATTTATATTAAGGGTAGTTTAGGCATTTATTTTATTCTGTTGTCTAACTATATAAGTGCCTACATTGTTTATTCTAGTTTAAGTTGTATTATAGATTGGATTAGCTGTAATAATAGCTTCTTTCTCTTCTCTACTTTTTCTTTTGTTGTCTTTTGATCATTGTTAACATAGGGTTTGTAGTGTGGCTTGTTTAATGAAATATATGTTTTTCTTCTTACGTTGAAGTTTTAGAGATTAGCTGATGGGTCTACAATGTGTTATGAATGCATGATTTTGGACTTGTTGATGTAAGTTTGGGAGAGATGACTAAATGTGAAGTCAGCAATTTGTTTTAGGAATTTGTATTTCTGTCTGGATGGAAACTAGTAATTTTGTTGATAATTCTTTTGTTTAGGGTTTCTTAGTTTTGGTTTAGATTTGTTATATGATGGAATGTTTCAAAGTCAACGATTTGTTACAATTTGATAAATTCATGTTTGGCTCATCAGAAGCTAGTGATTTTGTTGCTGATTTTTTGCTTAATGTGTTCCTTAATTTTGCTGGTTTCACCAATGAAATTATGGGCTTTTGTTGATTGGCATTCGCAATGGGGTTTGTGACTAGTGTGCTTTTTATGCATCCAATTTTGCTCAGGATAGTTTTTTTAGATATTTGGTCTTGGATTGAGTTGTGTTGTAATGTGTGTGTGTGTGTGTGTGTGTGTTTTGCCCAGTATAATTTTGAGTGTTGTGTGTTTCCCAAATCACCGTGGAACTCAAGAAAAGTAGTCTGAAAGTATTTCCTTTATCTGATAAGGCCCTGTTTTTTCTTAGTCTCGGGAAATCATTGTTGGAGGAGTATGTGGTTTTGTTGTGGGCTCTGCATTTCCAG